CGGCCAAAGGCCTGACCGCCGATGATGGGGGGGGGGGGGGAGAACGTGGAGCAGGCGTTAAGCGGACTGGTTGGTCCGGTATTAACCGGTCGTCGAGGCGAAGGCAATAAAAAACTCAACGCCCATTTTCTGGTTTGTAAATGTACATTTGGCATTTCTGTTTATTTACACAAACGCACTTCCGAGAATATCGCTGTCCCACACACTCACAAAAAAAAACAGAAAACTCTTTTCGTGTTAAGCTTCGTAAAAACCCCCCAAAATACAAAGATTTGCTTTCATATACAAGGTTTATGCAGAAAAACGTTTATACATTTTTTTTCCAATAAAAAGCAAAAAAAAAAAAAAAAAACCCGACTTAAAAAAAAAAACATTTCGTCTTTACTGACACGAATGGACAGGAAAGCGTACGAACCGATAAACTGTGGAGTCCCCTGGGAGCTCAGGGGTTAGACCCCTCGCCCTCGCAAGCGAGAGAGGACCCGGGTTCGATCCCCGGACCGGGGCAAAACCTTAAGCCTCACTCCACACACACACACTCACTCACTCACTCACTCACTCCTCTGTTTACTCCCCAACAGTCAGTAGGAACCCGGTCGTTAGTCCATTGGCAGATCGCTTTTTCCAGGGGGTAATAATCCCTCCAGAAAAAAAAATCGGGTCACTCGACCCATGACTGGTTTGTGGGGGGACGCTGCTGTGCTCGATTGGCTGCCGCGTTTGGCCCACAAAATACACAGTCACTACACTTTAACACTATATTCTGTGGAGCGCTTCTGGAGAGGTTTTGGGATTGAGCGATTTTTTTTTGAGGGATCGTTACCCCCGGAAAGTGATCGGCCAATCGACTAACAACCGGGTTCCTACTGACAGAGGCGCGTGTGTGTGCGTGGGGGGGGGGGGGGGAATGGGACCCGGGTCCTCTCTCGCTTGCGAGGCGAGGGCTCGAGCCCCTGAGCTACGGGGCGATGAGCCCGTGAACGACTTCTGACACGTATTGAGGTACTAACGTCACGCCCACGGGATCACACCGCACCTGGTGTTGATCGTCAACTCCAAGAAAGAAACTCCTTCCGTTCAAAATGGACGACACGTCAACAGAGGAGCTCCCCGTCTTTGTGACCTTTTCTCCCCCGAACAGCGGAGAAATCCTCCATTGACCACCCCCCCCCCCCCCCCCCACCCGACCCCCAACCTCCAGAGACTTCGGGCCAGAAATTACACCCAGCACTATCCTGCAAGACCGCTTCCGTCTTAAAAACAACAATAATAATCCTTGCATTTTATACAGCGCCTTTATCACATTGTCGAGACGTCTCAAAAGCGCTTCGCAGAATATGCCGCAAAGTGTAGTGACCGTGTATCCTGTGGGCGAAACACGGCAGCCAATTGCGCACAGCAGCGCTCCCCACAAACAGTCGAGGATTGAGTGATCAATGGGTAATAATCCTTTTTGGGGGAAGGATTATTACCGACGGAAAGCGATCCACCAATCAACTAACAACCGGGTTCCTACCGACTGCTGGTAAACAGAGGCGTGTGTGTGTGTGGGTGTGTGTGTGGGTGTGTGTGTGGGGGGGGGGGGGGGTGAGGTGGGGGGGAGTAAGGAAACTTGCCCAATGTTTCGCTCTGACCTGACCCGCCCGGGAATCGAACCCGGGTCCTCTCTCGCTTGCGAGGCGAAGGGCTCGAACCCCTGAGAGCCGCCACAGGGAACTCCACCAATTAAAATGAGAGATTGCACAGAAATGTGGACAGTTCTTCGCCCCAGTCTGAATTTGGAAGCCATTTTATACTATTATCATAATAATATTTTGTTCCTATAATCGCAATAATAATAATAATAATAATAACGATCTTCGCATTCGGTACACCCGCCTCGGTTGGGCTGTCAAGACGTCTCAAAGCGCTTCACAATATTTATAATAATACTGTAATAATAATCCTTTCATCTGACATAGCTGCCGTTATCACATCGTTGAGGCGTCTCAAATATAGCGCTTCACGGGGTACACTGTAAAGTGGAGTGACTGTGTGTTTTGTGGGCGAAACGCGGCAGCCCCCCCAATTGCGCACGGCAGCGTCCCCCACAAACAGCCGTGGACCAAACAACTGATTTTTTCTGGGGAATTATTGTCCAGGACACCAGAGAGAGAGAAATTCCCTTCTCTTTTCCAACAACACCGCAGGATACCTTGAGTCTTTTTTTTGGGGGGATGGGGGTGGGGGGGGGGGATTATTACCCCCGGAAAGCGATCCGCCAATTGACTTAACAACTGGATTCCTACTTAACTGCTGGGCCAACAGAGTCAACTGCGAGCCTACGGCGAAGACTGGGTGGAATTTCGAGGCATCGCTAAAGGGCTACTGGAGATCCAGACGCAAACACAAAATTCATCAAAAAAAAACTATACATATTCCCCCCTTACACTCCCCCCCACCCACCCCCTCACAGGCAAATTCATCGTTCCCTAAGGAGCGGAGAATCTACAGGGTGTTCACAAAGTCCTGTTACCCCCCCCACCCCCACTGTGTTTTTTTTCTTACAATTAATTTATTTTCTGTGACAGACGAGTTTTGAGTTGGGACAACGCGATATGTTACAGGAAATATGTGGTTCCAAAAACAGGGAACGCGACTGACCGTCAGGCGCCGCCGAAAATGCTCCAACAGCACTACAATGATCCCCGCGTTCGAACCGGCGCCTCATCGCCTCTTCCGAGACGTCTCAAAGCGCTTCACAGGATAGGCCGTAAAGTGTAGTGACTGTGTATTTCGGGGGGCGAAACGCGACAGCCAATTGGGTGCACGGCAGCGTCCCCGCAAACAGCCGGGGATCGATTCACCCAATTATTATTATTATTATTTTTTTTGGGGGGGGGGGGGGAGATGGGGATTTTTTACTCCAGGAGTCCACAAGTAATGGCACTCACACACACACACACACACACACAGATCCTCTGGACACCTCAACACTTGTATTGAATACAATTAAGTACTTCTAAATACAATTCTTATCATTCTGCGACATGTTTTATGGAGGTAAGAGGGACTTTGTGAACACCCGACCCAGTCCAGGTTCCCCCGATCCCTGCGGCTGGTGGACATGGTGGAAGTCTCTCCTACATAAAGAGAGCTATGGGAGACCGGCCACTGGACAGGGCCTGGGTCAACGAGATCTCTCATGGCTCCCAGAGCGAGTGTGAAAGAGGCGTGAAAGGCGATAGGGGAGGGTGGTTGGGGGGAGGGAAGAGTTATTAAGAGAGGGGGGTGAGGGGCAATGAGGGAGGGAGAGGCACTGGGGGGGTGGGGGAAGTGGGGGCAATAGGAACGGGTGATTGTCTAATCAACAGTGAAATAGTGCAGCGTTGGGTCTTCCTAAAGCCAAAATGCACCCACCCAACACACACACACACACACGCATGTGTGTGAGTGAGGAGGGGTATAACCTATGTACACTAGCAAATTAACATGAGGACATGGATGATGGAATCCCACCCAACCTCTCTCTCTCTCTCTCTCTCCCGCTCCCGCTGTGAGGGTGAGGTCCACACACCCCCCAACGAAGTGAAGACGACACAAGTAATTTGGAATCCCATCACCGTTACTCGAGTCTCCAAACCCGACTGAGAATTCCCCACATCCCCCTCCACACCTGGAAACCCCAGAGATAGATTGTTGGAATGGAATGCGCTCTCTCTCCTCTCCCTGGAGGGACGCCCCCCCCCACCCCACTGCTTACTCCAATTCCGGAGAGTATTAGGCGCAGGTTGGCGAGAGCCAAGGCTTGAGGGGGAGCCCCAGAGTGTGCGTTGGGGTAACTGCTGGAGTCTAACCATCTAAACCCACACACAGCTCCGGCCATTGATGTCGCTGTCTGGCCGAGCTTTCCCGCTGCTTGTCCGGCTCGGACCCCCCTCCCCGTGAGTTAGGGCTTTGGCTGTGGGGTTACCAGGAGCTGAGGGGGAGGATTCCCGGCCCCCAGTGACTGGTCGGCCCTTCCAGGTCCTGCCCATGAGCCGGGCCGGGCTGTGCTGCCATCAGCTGACATACCTGTCAAGACTACTTGATCTTGTTTGAAGGTGACACACGTCTTAAAAGCAAGAATAAATGGTTTGAAGGGACGAGGGTGTGTTAACGGGAGCCTTCAACTCACTAATTCTTACACAATCTTACACGGCTGATCTCAACACCTCTCCGGCTAATCACAGCTTTTTACAATTATTTTTTTTTTTTTATCTCTTTTGATACAGTATAAAAAAAAGGGTCAAATATTGACCAACATGAAAAATCTTAAAAAACTACTATAATAATAATAACAATAATAAATCCTGGCATCCGACGCAGCGCCCGACCGCGTCGCCGAGGACGCCTCAAAGCGCTTCACAGAGTATATCGTAAAGTGTAGTGACTGTGTATTTTGTGGGCGAAACGCGGCAGCCAATTGTGCACAGTGGCGTCCCCACAAACAGCCGTGGATTGAGTGACCAAATGGGGGGGGGGGGGGGAAAGAGTGGGGATTATTACCCCCAGAAAGTGATCTGCCAATCGACTAACAGCCGGGTTCCTACTGACTGCTGGTAACCAGAGGCGCGCGTGTGTGTGTGTGCGTGTGGGGGGTGGGGGGGGGGGGGAGTAAGGAAACTTGCCCAACCTTCGCCCTGACCTGACCCGCCGGGAATCGAACCCGGGTCCTCTCTCGCTTGCGAGGCGAGAGGGCTCTAACCCCCGAGCCACAGGACTCTCTGGTTTATATAAATGACCGTGATAGGAACGAGTCTGGCAGAAGGCGGGGAGAGAGAGGGGGAGAGGGAGAGGGGGGGGGCGGAGAGAGGTGCACAGAAATGGGAGAGAGAGAGAGGGGGAGAAGGAGAGAGAGAGAGAGAGGGGGGGGGAAAGAGTGGGAGAAGAAAGGAGCGAGATAGGGAAACAGGGGGGAGAGAGAGAGGGAGGATGATAGAGAGAGACAGAGAGAGGGGAGGGAGAGAGAGAGAGGGGGTGGGGTGGGGGGCGCTAATCATTGAGTTTGGTGACGAGAGACAGAGGTTGTGTCTGTACGGCTGGGAGGCTGAGTTGGGAGTGGGAGGCGGTCTCGACGGAGGAGGGGGGTGTCAGGAGGAAGGTGGGCATCGAGACGTAAGTGAGGTGGCGGGCGCTGAGTGGCGACTGGCTGTTCTCTGCGCTGTTGGCAGTGGAGAGGCTGACGACGGGCAGCGGGGTGGTCGAGGGGGTGGGGGCGGGGTGTGCGGGCAGTTTGCAGTGGGGGTCCGGTCTGGTGGTGAGCGACAGGGGCCGCACTTGCTCTGGGGGGCTGCTCACTGCTGGGGGCGAGGGGGGGAGTCTAACACGCTCCCGTTGGCGTCGCCCACTCCCGGGAAACGGCCCTCGGAGCCCAGGTACTGGATACACTTCAGCTTCCGTCTGCAGCCGGCCACTGGGTCACCTGTGGGGGGTGGGGGGGGGGGGGTGGGGGTGGTGGGGTGGGGGGGGGGAGAGAGAGAGAGTGTGAGTGAGCATCAGAGAGAGAGAGAGAGAGTGTGAGAGAGCGCGTGAGAGTGAGTGGGCGAGAGAGCATCAGCGGAGAGTGTGAGAGTGGGCGTCAGAGAGAGAGAGAGAGAGAGAGTCAGAGAGAGTGAGTCAGAGAGAGGGGGTGAGAGAGAAAGTCGCAGAGAAGAGTGTGTGAGAGGGAGGGGGAGAGAGAGAGAGTGAGAGAGGGAGGGGGGAGTGTGAGAGGGGACGAGGGAGGGAGTGTGTGAGAGAGGGTGAGGTGGGGAGGAGAGAGTGGGGGAGAAAGATAGACAGAGAGAGAGAGATACTGAGAGTGAGGGAGACAAGACAGATACCGAGAGTGAGTGTGAGAGAGAGAGAAATTGTGAGAGGGAGTGAGTGAGAGTGAGCGAAAGAGTGTGTGTGTGTGTGAGAGCGGGTGAGATACACTCACAAAGTCACCCACAAATATACGGCCAACCCCTCCCTCACAGAGCGGTACACGCCACGCGCGCACACACACATAGCACACGCGCACACACACAGCACACGCACACACACACACAGCACACGCGCGCACACACACACAGCACGCGCGCACACACACACACACAGCACGCGCGCGCGCACACACACACACAGCACACGCGCGCACACACACACTCAGCACGCGCGCGCACACACACACACAGCACGCGGCCACACCACACAGCGCCACACCTCAGCCGCGCGAACACACACCACTCACCACACGCGCACACCACCCACACCACACACACACACGGTGAACCATGACAAGGAATGGACCGTGAGGGCGAGAGGCTGGGGTTAGTGGGAGGCGGTGGAGCGAGCACAGAGTGTGAAGGACAGATGGCAGCCTGGGTTTACAGGGCACATCACGTGGGCACTGCCACCTTACCTCAGCCACTACCAGTGAACCTCACAGACTGCGTGCGAAGAGGGGAAGAGAGAGTGTTACGCAACAGGCAGACAAAAGGGTTAATGAGTCGAGACGCGTCAATGAGAGCTCACGAGGCGGGAGAGAGAGAGAGACAGAGAGAGAGAGAGACACAGAGAGAGTGAGGCTGTGTCGAAACTCTTCATAATAACAATAATAATAATAATAATCATCATCCTTGCATTTGATATAGCGGCTTATCACGTCCTCGAGACGTCTCAAAGCGCTTCCCAGGAGACGCGGTGTGCTTTGCCCGGGCGAAACCAGGCGGCCCCGTTTGCTTATCGCAATTCACCTCGCGCCGTTTTGATTTTATATCGAATTAATTGGACCCCTAATGTGGCTCCGGTGTCCTAAAGAGGATTATCCGGATGCCCCTCGTAAGTAGGTCTTAGCAGGAGGTTAGGAGAGAGGAGAGAGGAGAGAGAGAGAGAGAGGGGGGGGGCGGGGGTGGGGGGCGCGGGTGTTGGGGTTGGGGCAAAGGGGGCAAAACAGCAGCAGCTAATTGCGTTAACGCCAGCAACGTCCCACAGAGTGTGGTTCATTCAGCGAAGATTATCAACCCCGAGAAAAGCCATCCGCTGGTAAACAGAGGCGTGTGTGCGTGCGTGCGCGTGGGGTGGGGGTGCAGCAGAGCGCAGGACGTACTAAAGCCCCCCACCCCCCCCCGGGAAAAGCCCCCGTACCGTCTGTCTCCCTTTGTTGCTTCTCTCGTTTCCTCTTCTTTTTCTTCCCCTGTTAAGCAGACGAGTCGAAAACAATCAAGACAGTCTCGTCCCACATGCGCCCCCTCCCTCCCTCCCTCCCTCCCTCCCTCGCTCTCTCCTCCCCCCACCCCACCAAACCCCCGCACACCCACCCCATTCCCTGAACTCCCCCCGCCCCCCCCACCCCGATACTCACATAGTTGTCCCGCGCTGACCAGCCCGGGTACAGCTGGGAGTGAAGTTGTCTCTCTTTCCGAGCCAACTCGTAGTATTTCGCCTGTTCCTCCCGCGACAGAGCGTGCCACTGTGTGTGTGTGGGTATGTGTGTGGGGGGTGTGGGGTGGGGGGTGTGTGGGGTGGGGTGGGGGAGAGAGAACAGTTATTAGCGATGGACAGGAATAACATTCACTCGCTTCTAATTATTGCCCCCACCGCTCCACACTGACCCACCCACCCACCCACCCACCCGTCATCACCCTTGACCCGGTCTCGTGCTCGTCCTCACCCCAAACCTTGCCCCCACCCTCCGTCTCTCTCTCTCTCCCACCCTGGCCCCACTCTCACCCCATAACCGCACCCCCAACCTCGCCTCCCTCGGCCCAGCCCTCACCCTCCCCGGCCCCACCCTCACCCTCCCCGGCCCCGCCTCTCCAGCCTCGCCCCAAACCTCCCCAGCAACTCACCCCAGCTCTGCCCTGAACCCCCCCACCCCACAGCCCCACGCCCCTCCTGCTCCCCAAACCCCTCAGCCTAAACCCTTGGTCCCACCCCGGCTCACCCTGCGGCCCAGGATCTGGTTGATGGCGGCGCTCTCCTTCAGGGTGCACTCGGCCACCACCTTGGCCCTCATCTCCTTCATATACAACATGAAGGCGTTGAGGGGCTTCTTAATGTGAGGCCGTTTCTTCTCCTCCTCCTTCTTTATACTCAGCGGCCTCCTGTAACCATTACAACCAGCGATCAGTAACCTGTAACCATTACAACCAGCGATCAGTAACCTGTAACCATTACAACCGGCGATCAGTAACCTGTAACCATTACAACCGGCGATCAGTAACCTGTAACCATTACAACCGGCGATCAGTAACCTGTAACCATTACAACCAGCGATCAGTAACCTGTAACCATTACAGCCGGCGATCAGTAACCTGTAACCATTACAACCAGCGATCAGTAACCTGTAACCATTACAACCAGCGATCAGTAACCTGTCACCATTACAACCAGCGATCAGTAACCTGTAACCGTTAGAACCGGCGATCAGTAACCAGTAACCAGCACAACTGGTGATCAATATAATAATAATCCTCGCATTTGACACAGCGCCGTATCGCGTCGTCGAGACGTCTCAAAGCGCTTCACAGGATACACTGTAAAGTGTAGTGACTGTTTACCCTGTGGGCGGAACGCGGCAGCCAATTGCGCACAGCAGCGTCCGCACAAACAGCCGTGGGTTGAGTGACCACATTATTATTTTTTTTGGATGGATTATTACCCCCGGAAAAGCCATCCCCAATCGACTAACAACTGGTGGGGGGTGGGAGTAAGGAAACTTGCCCAACATTTCGTCCCTGACCTGACCCGCCCGGGAATCGAACCCTGGTCCTCTCGCTTGTGAGGCGAGGGCTCTAACCCCTGAGCTACAACACCCCATGGACCCAACCCCCCTTTCCAGTCAGTCCCATCGCAGATCTTACGATCCAATCGTGCCCTTTCCTGAAACCCTCACAGCCTGGCAGAGCTCGGCAAAACTGCGTTGGTGCCAAGGCAATTGGGAGTGGGAGGTCAGATCTGTTTGCCCTGGAGGAGGGGGGGGCACCCATGACCGAGAGGAGGCAGCTCCTGGTACGTACGCGCTCTCCTGCGGGTGGCTGTGGCTGGGCAGCGGCTCCTGTTTGATGTTGGACGTCACGATGGCCGGGTGAGGGATTCCGGTCGGGTGCAGACCATGTGGAGGTGGCACCATGTGTGGAGAAAACCTGCAAGAGAGTCAGCCAGGACAAGGCCCTGGGTCAGTCTGGGTCTCACCTTCAAAGCCCTCCGTGGCCTTGCTCCTCCCTCTACCACTTTGCCCCCCAAGCCTGGGGACGGGGTGGGGGGTGGGTGGGATCGGGAGGGGGTGGAAGGTGGGGTTAGGAGGGTGACCGAAGGCGCGGTCGAAGAGGAGGGTTTCTTGAGACGCCCTATGTGAGGCGGAGGGACTGTGAGATAGATGGCATTCCAAAGGGTGGGGGCAGAGAGGTTGAAGGCCAGGCCAGGCCCCCCCTGAGCGGAGATTCCTGGGCGGAGGGCTTTTTGGTGACTTTGTTCAAGACAATTTACATTGAAATGTTCACCACCACGGGACGTGGAAGCTCACCAGCCACTGGGGAAAGCTGGAGGTCCACAATCCCCGGAGACAGGATATTTTGTTTGCCCGACCGGACGTCTGACACACACGGAAACCCATCACCGTGGCTTAAGAGTCTCCAAACCCAACTGAGAATTCCCCACATCCCCCCCCACACCTGGAAACCCCAGAGAGAGATTGATGGAATGGAATGTGCTCTCTCTCTCTCCCTGGAGGGACGCCCCCCCCCCCCCCCACCCGCTTACCTAATTCCGGAGAGTATTAGGCGCAGGTTGGCGAGAGCCAAGGCTTGAGGGGGAGCCCCAGAGTGTGCGTTGGGGTAACTGCTGGAGTCTAACCATCTAAACCCACACACAGCTCCGGCCATTGATGTCGCTGTGTGGCCGAGCTTTCCCGCTGCTTGTCCGGCTCGGACCCCCCTCCCCGTTAGTTAGGGCTTTGGCTGCGGGGTTAACAGGAGCTGAAGGGGGGCAAATTCACGTTTGGGGTTTGAGGCCAGGACACTGAGGACTCATTGAATAAGCAGCTCGATGAAGTGACGGAGGGGTGGGGGGAGAAATCAAATTGGCCAAAAACTCTTCTTCATCCAAACCCCATCTTGTGCTAAAGAAATTCCAAGTGACTTCTTGACCGCAGACCAGTCAGGTTTATAGGAGGTCAACGGCAAATTCATAATAATAATAATCCTCGCATTTGATCCGGCGCCTGATCGCGTCTTCGAGACGTCTCAAAGCGCTTCACGGGATACACCGTAAAGCGTAGTGACTGTGTATTTTGTGGGCGAAACGCGGCAGCCGATTGCGCACTGGGGGCGTCCCCCACAAACAGCCGTGGGTTGGGTGACCAATTTATTATTTTGTCGTTGATGATTGTTATCCCCGGGGGAAAAAAAAACATTTCGCCCCCTCCAGCCCGGCCGGGAATCAAACCCCAGGGCCTCTCGCTTGCGAGGCGAGTGCTCTAACCACTGAACTACAGCGACCCCCCACAACGCAGAAGGATGTCAAGGGTGTAGAAAGCCCACCCACCTGGACATTGAGGTGTTGACGGCCAGGGCGGGGTAGGGGGGCCTGAAGCCCCCGGCTGTGATGGGGTACATTGGCGGGCTTTGCCTGTGGGAGAAAATAGCAGAGAAGTCAGTGCTTAACAGCCCTCACACCCCGGCACGAACCAGAGCTCAGGATGTTAGTGTTTCGTTCAAACACTCACTCGCACTCTCGCCTCACAGTCAGCGGGTTTTGGGTTCAAGCCCCATATGGGAACTCGAAACCTATTTCGTCCAGACTGACACCCTAATCTAGCGGTGCTGGGGGAGGGGTGGGGTAGGGTGGGGGGGTGGGGAGGGGAGAGGGAGTACTGTATTATTGGAGGTGTGGTCCTTTGGATGAGATGTTAAACCTCACTGACTGCTGATAAACAGAGGCGTGTGTGTGTGTGTGGGGGTGTGTGTGGGGGTGGGGGGTGTGGGGGGGGGGGGGGGGGGGCAGTAAGGAATCTTGCTCAATCTTTCGCCCTGACCTGACCCGCCCGGGAATCGAACCCAGTTCCTCTCGCCTGCGAGACCTCTAACCCCTGAGCTACAGGACGATGAAAGTGTGGATGAGGGTCTCTCAGCAGCCTGAGGGGAGAGGCAGTTGCGGAGGGGGAGAGAGACTGAGCGAGAAATGGGGGAGGGAGACTATGTGTGTGTGGTAATGTATTAGTGAGTGTGTGGGTAAGTGGGGGGGAGGGGGGAGATAGGGAGTGTGCGAGGGAGAGAGGGGGAGAAAGTGAGCGAGTGTGAGACACAGAGTGTGGGAGTGCGAGAGAGTGTGTGTGGGAATGTGAGAGAGTGTGCGAGAGAGAGGGGGAGTGTGTGGGTGGGAGAGAAAGAGAGAGAGAGAGCTGTGGGGGTGTGAGAGAGTGTGTGTGAGAGTGAGACACACAGAGAGAGAGACACAGAGAGAGTGAGAGAGAGAGTGAGAGAGACAGAGAGAGAGAGAGATAGGTCACTTACGGTGGCACTAACCATCCCAAGGGATGTGTCAGTTGCCCAACAGCTCCCGGAGACAGTGGATAATACGGAGACAGTTCGGAGGGGTGCGGAGGCCTGGGTATTCCTGGAATTGGGAAGAGAGAGAAGTAACAACAACAACAAGTTACCTTTACACATCAGGAGGGCGTCCCAAGGCGCTGGAGAGTCAGGGATTTGGACCCGAGCTGGGGGTTGGGATCAGGAAGGGGTGGAGGGTGGGGTGTAGGAGGGTGACTGAAGGCGCGGTTGGTCGAAGAGGAGGGTCTTGAGACAGGCCTTGAAGGAGGCGAGGGAGGGGGCGAGGCGGAGGGACTGTGGGATGGAGTTCCAGAGGGTGGGGGGGCAGAGAGGCTGAAGCCATATAGAAGGGCAAGGTGATCTGTGTGGGAGTTGCGTGGGTGGGAGTTACTGACCAGTCTTGGGGTCCAGGTCTGGGGAGAGGTGTGGAGACGGGTTCCCGGGGAAGTGTTCGTTGCTGTAGGTGATGAGGGGGGTCAGGGGGTGTACATGGTGGGGGTGTTGTACAACAGCGACCTTGTTAGACTGCGGAGAGAAGAGAGAGAGAGAGCGCGGTGAGATTCAGGTAGTTAGATCTCCTGCCTCGCACATCCCATCCCCATCTCCCCACGCTCCCTCTCCCCGTGCTTCCTCCACACGCGCCCCCCACCCCCACATACTCCTTGACACAGTATCAAACAGGCATTCCCACATTATTTGGGATTAAGCAGTTTACAGATCAATTCACATCCTCCTGAATCCACCCTCGTCTCTTAGAAGGGCCGACCAGTCACTGGGGGCCGGGAATCCTCCCCCTCGGCTCCTGTTAACCCCACAGCCAAAGCCCTAACTAACGGGGAGGGGGGTCCGAGCCGGACAAGCAGCGGGAAAGCTCGGCCAGACAGCGATATCAATGGCCGGAGCTGTGTGTGGGTTTAGATGGTTAGACTCCAGCAGTTACCCCAACTCACACTGCGCTCCCCTCACCCCAAGCCTTGGCTCTCGCCAACCTGCGCCTAATACTCTCCGGAATTAGGTAAGCAGGAGATATTTAACACGGTAACGTACCAGGTGTGTGGGTGGTGGGGATCGAGCATCCTTAAGGCCAGCTGCAGCCTGGACATCCAACAGAGGCCATTTCACATGAAGGTACTGAGAGAGGGAACGAGACACAGGGAGAGAGAGAGGGAGAGGGGGAGAGAAAGAGAGAGAGAGACGTGGTGAGTCTAACACAACAATTACAACAACTTGCATTCACACAGGAAGGTCTTCGGGCGCGAAGCTTAAGTTGGGGAAGGAAGGGGCATGACGGAGGGATTGGGGGAGAGTGTGACAGAGTTTCGCGGCGCAGCGACTGAAAGTGCGGCCACCGATGGCGGAACAACAACAAGATTCCATTTGTAGAGCGCCTTTCATATCGGGAGGACGTCCCGAGGCGCTGTACAGTTGGGTCAGGACCTGAGCAATGGGGGGAAATGGTCAGGGGGAGGGAAGGGAGCGAGGAGGGGGTAGAGAGTCGAGAGGGGAGCTGAAGGCTGAAGGTCAAAGAGAAAGGTCTTGAGACCGGCCTTGAAGAAGGAAAGGGAGGAGGCGGCGAAGGCACCGGAGGATGGAGTTCCAGAGCGCGCGAGGGACAAGCAGGAGGCCGGAGCTGGCCACATATTGGGAGGCCTGTAGCTCAGTGGTTAGAGCCCTCGTCCACCCGCACTCACCTCCCCACACGCACACACACACACACACACACACACACCCACACACACCTCTGTTTATCATCAGTCAGTAGGAACCCGGTTGTTAGGCGACTGGCGGATCGGGTAATAATCCATTCCGAACAAAAAATTGGTCAACTCAATCCACGGCTGTTTGTGCTGTGCGCAATTGGCTGCCGCGTTTCGCCCCCAAAACACACAGTCACT